TGAAGTCCACCCGTCTTCAAGCTGCCAAGGTTGAGAAACCCTGGATTAAATTCATTAATCCTGCAATCAATCAACTGCTTCATTCTGGCCGCAGGAACCAATCGAGACCTTTATGCACGGGACAGCGGAGACCGGCAAGACGGTCTTGAATCTTCCACAGCCTGGGAGAGTTTCGTGTGGACCCGGAAACCAAAAATCCCACAGTCGGATGTTCCAGGAGCTCGGTGGAGCAAAGGCACGGAGGGTCGTGGGGACGGGGACGGGGGAATGGAGAAGCCATGAGAAGTTTTGCGTTTGCACAAACCGGTTGACGGGCGCCACTAACCACCGTGTCTGTCAAACCAACACCACCCAGACGAGCAAAACACAGCGCAGGCAAGAGAAATTGTGAGAAAAGCACAGCCCACGGGCGTTCACGGGGACGACAACAACGAAGTGTAGACGGGACGGGTCGCAACCACGTGAAATGGGAGCCGAAAGCACGGGGCCACCAAATTTGCAAGGGGACCGAGTTTTCTTTCTTTTTCGTGGTGGGGGAAGAGGGGAGGTTGGGGGCCCGAGGCTCCGGCTCCGGCTGCCGCGTGCGAGGGTGGCGCACGTGTGCGTGCATGCTTGGGGGGAAGACGCAGAGAGAGGAGACGGCACTTCACCAGACAAGAACTACAATCCAGAAACTCACAGCACATCCAGAGAAATGCTATTTCACGCAGACGTCATGCAAAAAGTGCGCAACTCGGATTCACATGACGTTGGGGTTGGCCTTTCCGAATCAAAGGAAGGAGGAGGAGGAGGAAGAGGAAGAGGAGAAGGAGAAAAAATACTTTACTTTTTGTTCATTCCAAAGGATGCAACTTACAAGGGGGGGCGGAGCTAGGTCTCCCGCGACAACGAATGATGGCTTAGCAAGAGTCGTCTCAAGATATGATTGGCCCCCTGCCGAAGGGGGGGTGGGAATGCGTGGTTTCAAGCAGCAGAGAAAGAAAAGGGGGAATTTGGTTTTCTTCTTCTTTTTTTTAAAAAAGTGTGTGCTTTCTAGACAAAATCAATAACTCCCCCCACCCCCTCTTTTCTTTTTTTAATCTTTTTTCTTTTGGACAGAAACGGTTTTAAAAAAAAAGACATTGATCCAAAGAAAATGACATTGCTACTTGCACATTAAAAGAGACAAGACAGAAACATTTTAACCCGAACATATTAAATTCTCAGCACCCAGGATTTCTTTTTTTGGGGGGGAAGGAAGGGGGAAATGGGGAAGAAAGACCAGGTCATGCATTCAACGCTGCAATGGGTGAGAAAACCCCATCACGACATAGCTTGGTAGGCGAGCCTCCTCAAAGACTTATATTTTTGACAGCTTTGCATTTTTTGCTGACTTTTTCACGACGTTCTAGTTCTGACCGTGATGTAATGTGGGGTCTGCCTTGGACAGCTCTACATAATGGGCCATGTTGGAGCGAACGGGGGCAGCTAAGACTGCAACAGGTCCCAAAACACCGCACTACGGCTATTTATCCATTTATTACAGGTCGTCCTCGTTTAGCGACCACAAGTGTTACCCGCAACTCGGTCGTTAAGCACAGCAGTTGCTAAGTGAAACCACGACTCTGCTTATGATCTGGCTTTCAGCTTTCCTCGGCTTTGCCGACCCGCGAAGGCCGTAAACGCGAGGACTGGCGGCCGAGTGACTTTTCCATCACCGTCACAACGGCGGTGGAACGAGGCGGTCGCTAAATGAGGGCTCCCTGAAATGATTCCAATAGCCACCCAACTCCAAGGGATTCTGGAGATCTAACAGGAGGGGAATCATACGGATGCACAAACACGCGCCACCCCCAGCACATTGCCAACTCTGTCCTTTCCTGGATAATATATTCCCTTAAGAAATGAAAAAGAAAAGGGGCTACCTAAGGGGGCCATCTCCCTCCCGCCCTGCAGAAAAACAAAAGCACAGAAATTCCCACTGGGAGGGTGTTTCGATTTGACGGTAGGTGGAAGCAATAACCGAGCGGGGTCATTTGGAGAGACTGGCCCGTCTGGGAGTTGCAGGGGAGACAGAGGGATAACTAAACGATCCCCACAACTGGACGGGGACCCAGGTGTTGCCGGTTCTCTGTCCCTTCCTATGGCTGCCAAGCAGGGAGATGGGACTTCAGAACCAGCAAGGCTTTTTTAATTTGTCATGGCTGGCTGGGGAATTCTGGGAGTTGGAGTCCACCCATCTTAAAGGGGCCAGGGTTGAGAAACACTCAACCGAGACGATCCTCTCTCATCTTTTTCAGGAATCTGCCTGGCAGTGGCTTTTCGGGAATCAGCCAGACCGAGGAAGGGGCTCCCTCCGGCCGCTGGAAGAAGCGTGCGGCTTCATTTCTGGCGTTCCGCCAGCAGCCGGGTTGGCTAAAGACCCACCTGGCAGGCAGTGGTTCAGTACGGCCGGTTGGCGTCTTTCGGGCGTTTCAGTTGCACTTTCAGTCGCTTCATCCCGATCTGGAAGCCGTTCATGGCCTGGATGGCGGCTTGGGCGCTGGCAGGATTGTCAAAACTTACAAATCCTGCAGCAGAGAGAGGGGAGCAAGAAAGAGAAGGGCCAAGGGCCCACTGAGACCTCCCAGCTGAGGGCAGGAAGGGCCCTGCGGGTACCGAGGTCGTGCAGAAAGGCCTTGCTGGGGAAAAAAATTGGGAGAAGATTCAGTTTTGGTGGAAAGCAGAAAGTCCTATCTGCTTGAGATCTTAGGGCCAAAAAAGGGGTCTCTTTAAAGGGCACGAGGTGGGGACCTATTGCCCCTGTGTATGTCCTATGATTAGGATAAAGTACCCAGCCCTCCTCATTTTGGGACAAAACCAGGGCATGCTCCACACACGTTCCTCTTCTCGTATGAAAGCAGCTCCAGATGGTCTGGTGCCCTTCAGTTGGAGAAGATCTGGTTTCGACGTCTTCGTTGGTTTGGGAACTGATTTAGGCACCCCTTCGTGCCCGCAACGCCTAACCTGTATTCCAAACCGAAAAAGGTTGGCCTGACTCCCACCCAACCCTCTCGGGTGTAGGAACCGGATCTCCGGTGATGGTCATCCTTTGGGCCCGCAGAAGGACAGACGGTGGGAGACCTCTAGGGTTAGGACTCGCTTTCGAGATCTTCCCGCGTTCCCCTCCATACCGAAGCATTTACTCTGATTGGTAGCTCGGTCGACAAAGACTTTGGCCGAAATGACGTTCCCAAAGGGGAGGAACATCTGCAGGATCTCGGAGTCGGTGAATTCCTGCGGCAAGTGGTAGATGAAGATGTTACAACCCTCGGGACCTGCAGAAGAAAACCAAGTTCTTTCTGTATTCTGTATTTTATGGATATTTATGGCTTTAATGGTTTTGTAAGTCGCCCAGAGTCCCCCACTGGGGGGAGATGGGCGGAGAGAAATTTGATTAAATAAGTAAGTAAGTTGTTGGGCAGGAGAAGGAGGGACGGACGGGGAGCAGCCGGGGCTGGGGAGAGGCGGTTGGAAAATGTCCTCATCTTAACACCAACGACGTTCGGAGCATTTCTCCATCAGGTTGTGAAAGATTTCTTGACGTTGTGGCTGAGATCTCCCCTCTGTCTCTTTGCCATGGCTCTGCCCTAAAATGCCAGCTGCGGTTATTTTAGAGGAACATAAAATAAGCCAGCAAAGGCAGGCTGAGGCGCCTGCTTTTCAGTGCAAGGAAAGGGACCTAAAGTGTAGGAAGTTGGAGGTGCTGGGGATCCCCACTGTTGCTCGGTTGTGGAAAATAA